GGTTTCTTCTTATGGATTTCAATCAAGACGTAATAAAGAAATAAAGTTGGCAATGGCATAATTCTGAGTTTTTTGAAATATTCTTGACAGTGATCCCTGTATCCAATATTAGCCAGCACTCTCAATGCCTTCTTTTGCATCCTAAATATTTGAATGGAATAACATGAATTTCCCCAAAGTTGTACCCCATAACTGATATGTGAGTGAAACAGTGAAAAGTATGAGGTTTTTAATATATTTGCACTAATGATGTACTTCAATTGGCGAAGAACAAATAAAGAACCCGAGAGTTTTCTCTTCAGTTGAGAAATATGTGCAGACCAGTTAAGTCTATTATCTAATGTAATGCCCAGTAATTTAACTTTATTAGTTTCACAATTAGAGATAGTTTGATTATTAGTAGAAATCTGGATGTATTGTGTTTTCTGACAATTTAGTTTCAGCTTATTAGATAGAAACCACTGATTAGCACTATTAGATATCTCGTCGAGATGAGACTGTAACATATCATTATTTTTATCCGACAGAATGAAAGTGGTTTCGTCCGCAAAAAGAACCGATTTGAACGGCAACATATGTTTGCACAAGTCATTCACATAAATGACAAATAAGAGCGGACCCAAAACAGACCCTTGCGGAACGCCATGCTTAATAGTTTGAAAGTTTGATAAGGTACCGTTGAGCATTACTGCTTATTGACGATGAGTAAGATATGTTCTTATTAAGTGAAGCGGAATACCTCAAACTCCGTAATAGTTTGATTTTTCCAATAGAATTTCATGTGAGACGCAGTCGACACGACGTCGTACACTGCATCTATTGTGAGCGTGACTTTCTGAAACCATATTGTGAGTTGCTGAAAAATGTATTATTTTCAAAGTAGGCATAAAGCTGAATCTTAATTATAATTTCAAACACTTTACTGAATATTGAAATAATACTTATTGGTCTGTAGCTATCGATGGCTTTTTCATCATCTTTTTTAAAAAGGGGCACTACTTTAGAAGACTTGAAGATATCTGGAAAGATACCAGTACATAAGATTAAGTTGATCAGAATAGTAAGAGGTTGGATTATTATAGACGAGGTTTCCTTTAGTATTCGACTATTGAGTTCATGGGTATCTGAACATTTGGTGTCCTTCAGTGAATTGATCGCTTCCAATTTCTAAGATAACATAATGCAGTATTTGAACCTTGGGTTAACATAAAAAACACTGGGTTTACCCAAAAAAAATCAAGAACAACTTGAAGTCCCAAGAGTTTGGTCTAAAATATATTCAGTTCGCTGTGTTAATATGACACGAAAAATGTCACAAAACTAGTATGAGGGGGGTTGCGTAATATCTTGTTTGAAAGAGACATGTATTGTTTATACAGTCATATGAATTTTTTCAATTCAGTTGATTATTCATTGAGAAAACTGAAAACAAAATTTCAAAACCCAACTATGATTTGAGGCATTAAATGTGTTGTAGAACTGATGTGGTTTCGAATGTTTTGTCAAATACAAACGAATTGATTTTTGAATGAAGAATGTAAGTGCACTTACGAAATCGAACGTTATTGTTCAACTTTTCATGATGAATCCTTTGAAAATTACTCAAATTATATCTTCAAAAATTTGAATGTTGTGTGAGAGGCGAAATGAAGATTTAGCGCAGAAAGTCAATGGAAGTATAAAAAAATCAAATGATCAATTAAAATTAAGGAAAATTTTTCATTTTACCACCATGAGGGACTTTTTGTCTTGGAATACAAGAAAATGCCCACTGAATTATGGCAAGACCAATGGAATGGGTCTTGCAGTAAACTTTTCAAAATAAAAACAAGTGTACTTCCATGGATACATCTCCCGACAAGTAGGAAAACCCAGGTCATAATATCTCGCCTGCGAGTAGGCCACACTCGCCTCACCCATGGATACCTCTTTGCCGGTGACACCAGCCCTATGTGTGGAGTGTGCAACACTCCCATAACTGTTGACCATATTTTAACAAAGTGTGTGCTATATTCCAACGAAAGACTAACTCGTGGCATCCCAACTTCAATTAACAATGCATTAGGACATAAGTGTAATATTGAAAATATTGTAAAATTTTTAGAAAATGTCAACTTGTTAAACCCTTTATAATAGCCCTGCAACTAATGCATTGTTCAGTCGCTAATGAATCCTGGAGGTTGATGCGACTTTAAATAAAGTCGCAACAACAAACTTTGACAATTAGCTTCAGCGAACAGAATTGCAAAATATTCAACAACTTCTTCTGGGAATGTCATAAAAAATCACAAGTTGGAGAACAAAAATAACATACCGACCTTTGACTATAATTAAATTTTGTAAGTTTATTCAAAAAACAAATGATTAAAAGGTATATCTGATGTTATGTACATACAGTTTAATGGTTTTTTTGAAAACTGTGGGAGATGTACTTTTTTTCATTTCATTGGATAGCTTTTTGAATCCATTGAGTCCCTTTTAAAACAAAAAATTCATTGATACCTGTTTATTTTGCTTTCGAATGAAAATATTTCTGTTATTTCTCGTGGAGTTAGAATACATTTCAAATGTAAATGTGATATATTCTTGAAAACAAGAAGGAGCTAGATTATAAAGAATTTTAAATATGATGAAAAATGAGAAATAAAACTTATGTTTTTCAACACTTGAATTTGTAACTAACTTTATGTATGATGTAACGTCAGTTACAAATACAGCTGGTAAAAAAACATCCATCAATTTATTAAATATGAATATCACTGTTAGATATGAAAGTCTTCTTATATAAATTTGCTCTAAAGATTATTCTCATTCCACG